GTAATTTTTGGTAAAAAGTGATATTTTCGACTTCTTGTTAAAAATCAATAGTTCAATTGCTTTGATATTACATATATAGATACTACATGTAGACCTTTCTCAGATTTGTTCATTTTGTGATGATATCTTCAGTTCTCTAATTTTGGTGAATATTTTTGCCATTTTTGGTAAAAAGTGATATTTTCGACTTCTTGTTGAAAACTGTAAGTCCGATTGCTTTGATATTACATATATAGGTACTACATGTGGAACTCTCTCAGATTTGTTAATTTTGTGATGATATCTTCAATTCTCTAATTAATTTATTTTGGTGAATATTTTTGTAATTTTTGGTAAAAAGTGATATTTTCGACTTCTTGTTAAAAACTGTAAGTCCGATTGCTTTGATACTATTCATATTGTTCATTTTCTAATGATGTCTTCAGTTCTTTAATTGAAATGTGCATTGCTAACAGCGGAGCTATCTCAGCCGATAGGCTGCTTGTTCTCTATATACTGTGCTAGTCCGAATTAGCATCCATTAAAACTCAGCTGGTGCTGAACAATAATTACAGACTAAGTTTTATGATTGGACAGTCAGTCAGTGAAGGGGATGGGTGCTGCACTGAACGTGGAACCGAAATAGAAATATTCCAAAAATGGGGGGGGGGGGGCTTAGCCAAGCATGGGTGCTGAGCTGGTCGAGTACAGTATGTGCAACTACTCCCATGAGAAAAGTTAGAGCAAATATAAATTTTGCACTTATTCATCCCATGTCATCGAGCAAAATTTTGAAATCTCACTATAAAAACCAGTTTAAAAATGCCAATTTTCCATGTCATTTTGCACGCAATTTTTTCTTTCATTCTTGTTATCCTGAGTCCATGATATATAATTATATATAATTTTATAATTCAGCTTAAACTTATTCTGTAACTTTACTTCTCCAAATATTATAGATCTTATCACTGTTTCTGGAAATGGTAAAATTCTACGTTCATGGGACGCTGGTACTGGTAGCCTGGTGTGGGAAGAGGTTGCCGCAGTAACTGAATCTACATCAAAACCCAGGTAAATTGCAAATTTCACGGTTCAGAATGGACTGTGGGTTCAAATTGTGATGAATTTCTGCAGCCTTTTTGTATAAAATCACAGTATCTATTTTCAGTGAATTCACATTAGAATCACTCTAAACTGAAATGGAACATCTCATTCAGCACCATCTCATAACAGCTTTTTATGGATACTGTAAAAGTACTAATTTTTGTACTGGCAATTCATATTTATTTATATATAAATTCATAGATTTTCCAGTGAGACAATGAGTTGTAATTGTACATGTTCATATGATATTAAATTAGAAAGTTGCACCTTTCAGCGAAAATTGAAACCCAGTGAATAATTAATTCCTTCACAGTAGCTAGTTTTCTTTTCTTCATATTTATAACAATGGTGTATAATTTCTGATACAAACATGTACTTACTGTCACCGCCATATTGTTCAAAACAGCAACATTGCCAGCAAAGTTGCTGACTGGTTTGCTATGTGCGCCTAGAGATTCTTCCATGATTAGAACAAGTTGGGTCAAACCAACTTCAACAAGGAGACGTCAAATAGTGAGGGACTCGGTCATGTTGAATATAAATAGAATATCATGATGTAATTGACTTTCAATTTATTATATTCAATTGTAGAAATTTATATATAATAATTGGCCAAGTTAACAAAACAAAATTTATGTACTGCAAGGTCCATAGCGTTGGGAAAATCCTTTGAAAGGTCTGGAAATCGTTAAATTTCTTCATAGTTATTAATTCATTTTTAGAAAGGCTTGTTTTCTCCAGGGAACTACAATATCCTCAGTCAGAACTTTGATGAGCTTTGGTGATGTTGGCCTGAATTAAGTGTTAAAATGTCTTGGGGGAAAATGCAAGAAAGTTTGGGAAAAGGTCTGGAAAAGTCATGGAAATTATTTGGTTCTTGGTGCAATGGACCCTGTACTGATACAGTATGAAATGGCAGCACACAATCAGTGGTGTGTCTGGTGCATGTACAATCTTGAGACGAGCATAACAAACCAGTCAGCAACTTAGCTGGTAATATTGCTGTACGGAACAATATGACAGTAACATTCCTGAATTTATTACTGGTACTCACTAGAAAAAGGGTAAGAATATTTTCTGGTCAAATTCTTTTGTTACATAATCTTATTGTTATTCTTCATATTGTAGCCATGCTCAAGCAGTGTTCGCAGGTCAAGATATGATGGCTGTTTTAACATCTAGTAATGTTTATGTGCATTCTTTGAAAGATGGCACTTCTCTTTGGAGTAAAGAACTACCCAACAGGTAAAGTATGACCAAAATGGTTTAAAAAAACAACAAAAATGGTTTAAAAACAACAAAAATGTTTTTAAAAAATGGTTTAAAAAACAACAAAAATGGTTTTAAAAAAACAACAAAATGGTTTAAAGTTTCGAAAACATTTTTCCTACTTAACACACCCCAATGATTTTGCCATTTTATTTAAAATAAAAAAGGAAAAATTATGTGGGTTTATTTAAGTGATAGTGACAAAAGTTTACTTTAAAGCGAACCTAAATGCGGCCTTAATTTATAGTTGTGTATATTCTAAACTGTATTCGAAATAATATTGCAGTGGTTTAATTTTGTTTTAATTATAACTGTAGCTTGGATAGGCATTTGAAGTGCTTGCCATGGAGGCCATTCATGGAGGGGAATAATTAACGAACGAACATATTTAACATCCGGGTACTTTTCAAAGCTATGACGTTTTAGTATCTGATCGCATTCGTATACGCCATTGTACATAGCCGTTCATGCTGCCAAGCATT